AAAAAGCTAAACCTCAACCCCCAAACCCCCAAGCCCGAGGCCTCTTCGGAAAGCTGAAAATGCCCAAAGCCAAAGCAGAGGGACGCCGTCCTGCGGCAAAGCACCGAGGACCGGGCTTTAGGGCTTAGGATTTATATGGGGGGTTATATAGGGATAATGGAAAGAAAATGGAAACTACTATATTACATAGGGGTATATTGGGATTATATAGGATTTCGGGTTAGTGGAGAGTAAGCTTTAGGATTTAGGGTCCAGTGTGTGAGGTTTAGGTGGTTTGGGGTTTGAAGGTTGAGGCTTGAGGGTCTGGGGGTTAGGGCTGAAGGAATGCGTATCGTACTACTGCTGCTAGCCACTATCACGGTGGTCTTCCTATACCATTTGCTATTGTAACTACAGTGCTTGCAGCCGTCGCTTTATAGCTGTTGTCGCTTGTTCTGTTTGGGATTGCGACTTTGGCAAGTTGCTTGTGCTTGAGACCCCCTTGCATAGGCAGTAGCCTACTATGCAGCAGTACATGTCCCTTAGAAGATCCGACAGCTTGTAGAATGTATATAGCTGAAGCTGAATGAGACGTGATGTTTGAGTGTCCCAGTTACCAGATAGACTAGTGCCTCTGAGAAAGTATCTCCAGCGCGGATGCCGGTTCAGGGCGTACCTTTGGACATTGCTTATATTGCGCAATTATTGGACAACTGTGTTGCCGAACCGTGAGTCGAAAGTCCTTATTTGGGTTGCGGCGAGGTAGACCAGGGCAGAAGCACACTTTTGCAAGCCCTAGGGCTTAAGCCCTAGACCCTGAGCCCCAAACTCAAGACCCTGAACCCTAGACCCTAGACACAATCACGCTGAAGCCACGACCCAGTCTTTGGTGTGGAGGCTTGCCTTTGAGGTAACATTTAGGGTTTAGGGTTTAGGGTTTAAGGTTAAGGTTGCATGAGCCCTTTCCCCTAATTACTGAGCCAATGGACAACATTTTTAACTTTTAGGCCTTCCTGATTTGGTCTTTATATTAAGATTTGAACTTTTTGGCCTTGGTTATTGGGGCAGAGAGCCACTTATTATCCATTGGGTCATGTCTCTGTATAGGAACTGTCCTCAAAGAGGTTCTACTATATCTTGTGGTAACTGTTACTTTGATGACTCAAATTGTCCCCTCCTACAAAAAACCCGCCACACCAAACATAACTTTCTCAAATTACATAATGATACAATTTGTTTTTTGTTGGGTTGGGGGGAGGAACGTTTGCGGTATGGGTATGCCGAAACCTTAAACCTAAAATAGTGGGACAGAACTTCAGACCCCGATATGTTATAATCCTTTTTGTTGGGATCCCCAGAAAGGAACCCCCATTTCATGAAATCGGCCGCCATATTGGGTTCCATAGCATCATTCCCCTCAAACAAGAGGCAAGCGAACCACGCGTGTTTCCAACCGAGCAAAACGCAAAAGCTTGTCAAGCCGCGGGGAAAATATCGGGAAATCCTGAACCCTAAACCCTGAACCTGAAACTCCAGGAGTCCATGAGGGCCACTTTGCGCACTACCGGCGTCTATTCCTCGTGGAGCCCTCAGCGGAGGACAGACGCAAACTCCGCCATTGAATTCTAACGGAAGACCAGCATCATTGAAATCCCCAATATCCTTTTCGTGCGTGGTCTTATCATGACGATGGCTTTTTGTTTTGTGGTCGCGTGTTGTTGATTGCTGTTCTCTTGCTGGCGTAATTGCTGGTAACGCTGAGAGACCCCGACGCTGAAGCCCTGGATAGCAAGACTAGAATGATAATACCAATAGTACTGGCAACAGTACTTGGCAATAACCATCGTGTGATTAATCACCTCTTCCTAATACCCAGGTTGCAAAGGATTCTACGGATGATGCTAAAAATCCTGCCTGCCCTTTGTACACCATAATGCCGTGATTCCCAAGCTTTACGGTATTTAGGGCGCTGGGCTCAATATCCCTAAACCCTAAACCCTATAATTAGTAGTTTCCAGTTTCTTTTCCATTATCCCAATATTACAACAAGAACCCAGGATTTGGGTATCCCCTTCTTTTGCAGAGGAAGGTTGGCCTCGGCCGGATGAGTGCGCGCAGATGTAGCCCAGCACCGAATCCGAAGGTTTTAGAGGGCAGGGGGTTAGGGTATATGAGTTTAGGGTATGGGGGTTTTTAAGTTTCTTTTTTAGGGTTTCAGTGATTAAGGTTTTCAGGGTTTAGGGCTTCTAGGGATCTGGGAGAAATCTTTCACTGTGCAGCATACCCCACAGTGGCACCAGTTTAGCCCCCCATAAGTAGGGCTTTCTTCTTGGCTGGGAAGTTGTTTTGATGCGTTCCAGGCATTCGATATTTCTGGAAAGCCCAGAGATACTTGTACCCTCTTTGGGTTCTGGATTCCTTTGTACATTCAACCAATAGAAAAAAGGGTACCCTTATTGTAACATGGTTACTACCAGGACATACAACATAATATGAAAAGGAAATAGGCGTGATTGTGCAGCTGAGTCATGCTGGGCAGAACTGAGTTTGCCGTGGTGGCATAGGCAACAACACTATATATATATACATATATGTATATATATATATACATATACATATATATATATAGTTGCCAGTAATACGACTAGAAGCCGCAGTTGTGAGAAAACTGAGGAAATGTGGCAGTATTGTGAATACTGCGGACAGTCAAGAGCATATCTCTACTTAACATGCTACCGATCATATGAAACCTTCAAACGTCAAACGGCCTGTTGTGAGTAGATGCCTTTCGCTTCGTAGTGTCTGTACCAGGCCCCAAATGGTTTGCCATAGTCCATTCTCCCCTTCCCGATACCCAAGCCCTAAGCCCTAGACCCTACTCCCCAACCCCAGAACCAGTAAGTTCAAAAGCATAGCCCAGGCTACCAGAAACTGGTAGTCCTTTGTTTTCCGTCTGCTCCACGCCCGAATACGGCCTTTCGAAGGCCAATGGGTTGGGGGGAGTTCGAAAGGTTCCCGGTAATACACATGGTTAGGTAAGGATAAATTTTTGGTTATGCTGGGAGCGGTTATGTTCGCTACAATTGGGTTTGCGAAGGTACGAGAGTCTGTTTCTATCCCAAGATCCACGTGAAGCTTAAGTACAGTGGGCCCATCATGTTGAGGAACACTCAAATCATCCATGTCATCGTCGTGTGAAGATGGATATTGCCTTTGGCCGCCGCTGTGGTGAGTATCATTCCGTCCGGTGGGTTCATGCGTGGTCCAAGGTTTAATGTTTGGAGTTCTTGGCTGATGAAGTTCAAATACCTCCGGGTACGCCTGGCAGGCCTAATGTTCAGAACAATGGAGCTCGCATGGTGGATGGCGGTGCTTGGGTCTTATTCAAGTCCTGTATGCCATTTAGGGCTGAGCCATATAACTCCGAAGCCGCCCCAGGTCCTAAACCGTTGATCCAAAATGTTGCATCCTAAGCTCCGAATTTTGAGCTCCAAAATCCTAGTCAGTTCATCCCAAACCGCAAGCCAACAGCCAAAATCCGAAGCCACACCGTGAATCTCGGATCCTAAACCCCAAAACCTTGACCGCACGCAAATCTGAAACCTGTGAGCCCTGGACCATAGATCCTGAAGATTTCTGCGTAAACCCAAGCCGCGTTGTCCCCAGAGATCGCGAGCCCTCTAAGGGCTCCTGACCGTATTTAAGAAGCTCATGCCCAGGAAGGGGAAAGCAAGCAAATTTTTGGCCAGGTCATGAATCGCCAGGTCACGAAATGTAATGACCAATATCCTCTCATGGTGACCATTACAGATAAAACTAGTGTTTCGCCACATACCTACAAAGACCCCAACCCTAAACCCTATTGTAAACCTACACATTCAGCTCATGGAAGGCAGAGTTCGGTGCTGCCGCCATGCTACATCAGCCTGAGGAGGCTTCCAGCTGTATGGTCTATAGGGTTTTAAACGATTTGGGGTTAGGGTTTAGGGTTGCAGGTGTTTTGGGGTTAAGGTGTAGGGTTCAGCGTATATGGTCTCAGGCTTTTTGGTCATATAGGCCAATTTTGGGATAGAGAGAGAGAGAGAGAGATACATATATCTATGCATATAGAGGGATAACGGTTTTAGGGTTTGGGATTCAGGAATTACCTGCATTTAGGCTATGCCCTTTGACTTCGTGGTATAGATCTCTAAAAACAGCGGTCGCCTAGGGTCAAGGTAGTGGTTGAGGGTATACCTGTAACCCCAAATACCCACAGTTGTATATGAGCCATAGTCTAAACTCCTTAAAGGGGGTTATATAGGGGATTAGATAGGGGAGTACTATGGCGGTTTATGAGGGGGATACTAGGAGTTTAGACTTTGGCTCATATGGGTTATACTGACCAAGCTGATGGTTAGTTAATGGTGCTACAGGTAGGGCTTAGCTTTTAAAAGAGTTTAGGGTTTAGGCCTTGCGGTTGGGACTTCAGGTTTGGGGGTGAGGGTTCAGGGTTTCGAGGCTTGTGTGGTGCAGACTTCCAAAGGGACGTTCTTGGGATTCTAGGGAACTAGGGATATGTGGCATGCGTCTGAGTCCAGATCGGAAGAGCGCAAGTCTTGTCTGCCTTTAAATTCTAATGGGATTTGATACCTGGGCGAGCTTCCCTATGGGGATTTGAAGGGGTTGTTCGGTTTTTGGTCAAGTTTTCATCTTGAGCGGGGAGTTGTGCAAAGCTCCCTTGGGGTGTGGGTCTGGAGCTTTGCGTTCAGGGTGCAGGGTTGAGGGTAGGGTCTCTGAAGTTTTCAGTTCTCGAGACCTGCAGACGTACCAGGAGATAGGCTTAGGCCTTTTGCTTCCTTGCTTTAAAGTTGTTGTTCACCTCAACACAACCCAAGACCGCGCCGAAACAACGCTTTCCGTAGACAAAAAGTCATTTTTTCAAATACTTGTCCTACACCCAGTAGCCCTGGCACCCTATCTCATAAGCCTGTAAGCCCGCAGCCCCCCTTCCTCTTCAGTGACAGATAAATGCTTTCATCATGGAGCACCCCTTCTGCGTGGAAGCATTGTTCGTTCTCTCGGACATCTGCCGGCAGTCGGGGCAGCACCAGGACATTGGGCTTTGGTTCAGGGGGATTTTGGATATGACGGGCGTGGGATTTTGGAGGAATAAATGGCTCATCTTCACCAACTAGCTTTTTATGTTATTAAGTCGGATGCGGGAGCCAGCATGCTTGAGATCCCAGAATGCAGCGAAAGCGAAACCCTGTAAGAATTCTTACTGGGCTTAGTAAGGCATAGGGGAATGTATTACATAGGGACTACTTTCCCTTGTTCCCTAGCAGCAACCTGCAAGGAAATACTTTCAGACAGACAGGTAGAGTTCTGGCGATTCAGGGTTCGAAGCTCAAGCCTGCAAGCAAACTTGAAAATCATACAATAAAAGAAGATGCCGCTTTGCCCAAACCCTAGGCCCCAGCCAACCTAAAGCCCAAAAACCAATAACCAAAGCCCACGCTCTAGACCCCGAACCCAATCCTTAAGCCCTGCATGCAGCAACCTAAACCCGGGCTCTAAAAGCTAAACCAGCCAAATTCGGCTTGTTTTTTTTCTGGGCTCCTTCTAGAACATCTGGGGCTCCCAACCCTAAACCCTAAATCCTAAACCCTAAACCCCCATTTTTTCGAAACGCGCTCTGAGAGGATGCGTTTGAGCTCCTGAGACGTGCGGCCTACGCGGTCGACTGTGGCTTCCACGGCTCCTTCTCACCGTTCCTTGCCAGGGTGTCATATGAGCTACTGACAATATGAGGGGGGTTGTATTAGGGGTCCCTTTAAGGGTTCTATAGGGTTCAGGGTTTATGGTTTGGGGTCTAAACTCCTTAAAGGGGGGTTATATAGGGGATTATATGGGACTACTATAGGGGCTATTAAGGGGCATACTAGGAGTTTAGACTATAGCTCATATGAGCTACTGACAATATTTGCTTTACCAAGGGGCCATTAAGGGCAGATATAGGGACCCTCTTGTAGTTCAGTATAGCCCTTAATATAGTCCCCAATAGGAATATTGACTGTTGCTCATATAACTTAGCGTTACCATGCACCCCCGTCGTATACAGGCCGCCGCAAACTACGCGCGTTAGGGCTGGTCAGGTGGCCTGCTCATTATGGGGTATCCTATAGATAATGGGGGGGGGGGGGTTTCCGAAAATGCCTGGATCCGTTTATAGGGTAGTTCATATGTCCGGTGTGTTGTTAGCCGCGAGATGGCGTTCTCGAGACGCCATCATGTGCGTTTGCCAGCTTTTCTGGGGCTTGGCAATTTTTGTGGCAGTGACCGCTGAACCCTAGATTTTCGCAAGCTCTGCGATAACCTTCTGTGGAGGTTTGTGGAGGCTGTAGGGATATGACATGTTTTCCTTGTCTCGGTTTCGGTGTTTATCCCTTCAACCCGGACCCTGCAGCATGGACCAACTCCCGGACTCATCTCCTATATCCTTAGCAACTATTTTTATCTTTTTTAAAATCTGAATTCTGTTGATACTAAAGATACTGCTGCATGACCTGACTGTACTAGAATACCATAGTTCACGCAGGAGTTTTAGTACCCACCGCATAGCCCTGCTAAACTGCTAAACTCTGAAGTGGTAGGTTGTGGACATTGTCGTTCCTCTCTGGGTCCCTGGTAAAATACCACCCTAATGTTTGAGGTACATATGAGCTATAGTCTAAACTCCCTAAAGGGGGTTATATAAGGGACTATATAGGGGATTATTATCAAGGGTTACTAAGGGGCATGCTAGGATTTTAGACTATAGCTCATATACGGGGAGACCAGAATGTCGACAACCTTCCAAGTGATATCCGCAACAGCATGTCAGCTGAAAGCTGGAGTTTTGTGCTTGCTGCGCTCAGTCCTGTTCGGGAGCTTTGCATTAGGGTTGGACCTAGGGTCAGGATTTAGGGTCAGGGTTTAGGTTTAAGATTTAGGATTTAGAGTTAGGATTTAGGGTCTGGGGTTCAAGGTTTAGATGTAAGGAGACGTGAGGATTCCAAAGATGGCTGGTCCCTTCGCGGGGCGCCTACAGGTAGGACTGCAACGTACTGGGGTTTAAGGGTTTAGGGTTCAAGGGTTTAAGGGTTTGGGGTTTAAGGATTTAAGGGTTGGGGGTTAGGGTTGAAGGGTTTAGGGTTGAATGACTTAGGGTTTAAGGGTTTCGGGTTAATCCCCCCATTTCTTTGATTGCCATGAAAGTAGCACCATGTATCAAGCCAAGCAGAACATGCCACTGATCACCAGGAGCGCAATGCTGCACCGCAATCATGAAGAGTTTCGAGAATACACAACTACATCTTCCTCAAATTGACCCCTACATAACCCATAGCCCATCCCGCTATAACCCCTGTATATCCCTGGGGTCCTTTAAGTGTCCCCCAATTTTGAGAGACCCCGGAATTCCCATCCTGCCCAGGTTCGCGGAGACGCCGCTTCAGGTCCGGCGTGGCGACCTGGATTGCTCCGTCCAATGGCCGCGGGTGCGAGTAAAGCTGGAGGATGCGGTTACTTGGTAGGGTTTAGAGTGTAGGGTTTAGGGATCCTCAACATGATCCCTTGTATGACCCTAAATAGTAGTTTCCATTTTCTTTTCCATTATCCCTATATAACCCCTATATAGCCCTAAAACCCTTCTGTAATCTTGCAACTGATTCTCCATGATTCGGGGGGTTGATATCTGTAAGCCCTGGGAGGGATCCCGCCTTGGGAAACGTTGGGCTTCGGAAATTGGGTGACAAAGTGGTTTCATGTGGCCGTACAAAAGGATTAGATGTTTGGTTGTTTGCGCTGCGGGGCAAGGCTTGAAGGCCAATTGGCAATGCTCTACGGTGCTTTTTAGGGATTTGGGTTTGGAGTTTCTAATTGGGCGTTCAGGGCGGTGCGACTTCAAAAGAGATTGGCGTTCAGTCATATTGAAGCCAGGCACGCCAGGATAGCTACATGAGCCCCTAAACCCTAAACCCGAGCTGGCGGTTAGATTTGAGGCTCAGACCACCTTCGAAACCCTCAGCACCCCTGCCAGGCATTCCTACAGCCAGCTAGCTTAAACCCAAAACATCCTGAATTCTTGGAATCCCCTATAAACCCTAAACCCCTAAACTCTAAACCCCTAAACTCTAAACCCCTAAGCCCTAAACCCCTAAACCCCAAACCCTTGCTCTTCAAATTCCCAAAATAGATTAACTTGTCGAGGCAGAATGGCCTGGTTGGCCTTGGCTTACAGTTCTGTGGGCCTACATGAGCCCTGGATTAAATTTGTTCCCAATATAGGGTTTAGGGCCCTATAATGGAGAATCAAATGAAAAAGAGAATGGAAAATGAAATGGAAGCTGGGATTATATAGGGGTTATTTGTAAGTATTTAGATTCAATTTGTTGTATCTCCCTTAATAGGGCCCCCCCAAACCCTATATAGTCCCCTATAGGTCCCTCCCAACCTAAATTTAGTCCGTAGCCCACATGAGCCCATGCCTAACTCAGTAGCATCTGTTTGGCCTTTGGGACGCTTAGATATTTTCCCTTATTGGTTTCATAAGGGCCCCTAAACCCTAAACCCTAAACCCTACACTCTAAACCCTCATAATATTTTTCAAATGGCTCCAAAGGCCAACCAAGCAGTAGCATTTTTCCGGGATGATGCCCGTTCGGGTCTAGGCTGATGCTTAGATGATGGTAGGGTTCTGGATATAGGGTTTAGAGTTTAGGGGTTTAGGGTTTAGGGGTTTAGGGTTTAGGGTTTAGGCTTTAGGGTTTAGGGGTTTAGGGTTTAGGGTTTAGGCTTTAGGATTTAGGGGGTTATATGGGGGATAATATAGGGGATGGCTGTAGGATAGATGCTGCCTGGTGGGCGAATCTTGAGGTTTCCAGGTTCAGTGTCTATGCTTGGGTTGGGGATGAACAGGGTGCGAATGGCACGTTCTACTCTTAGTCTGGGTTGCTGTGAAGAAACTTAGATCAAGTTGTTATCATTTGTCAGTCCAGGACGCCGCGGTTGGAAGCAAAGCCATGCCAGAAGCAGACATGAGATTAAAGGTCTAGGGTTTTGGGTGTATAGGGTTTAGGGTTCAGGGTGTGCAGGGTATAGGGTTTAGGGTTTGAATAGCACAGGTCTGCACTTTGCCATGTACCCCAAGCTGCAGGCAGAGCACAAAGAATGGCTGTTCAAGGGACAAGCTCAACACGTGCACCTGAAACCTCCATTACTGAAATTCCTGGGTTGCTGCTACGGAACTGAAATAAAGAACCCGCTCCCAAAACCCTAAACCCTATCTGAAGCACAACTCTTCAAGCCGAGGCTTTTCGGTTCAGGGTTTAGGTTTAGGGTTTAGGCATTCCTTCTACGCATGGGATATTTGCGGTATAGTTTGCTCCAAGCTCGACAGAAGCCGAACCCGAAGCCCTGAACCCTGCAAGCCCATCATTCGCAGAACTCCTGTAGTCCCCACCCTGTGACCTAATTTTCCTTTCTAGACCTGCAGAAAGCTTCCATATCCCCGAAACCTGAGGCATTACCATTCCCTATCGTCAGGCTGAGCCTGGCGACGCAAGGCCTCCCTCGAACTGCCCTGGAAGTCTGCAAATTGGTCTTGGCCATGACGCTACCACGGGATCCTCTGCATGCGCTGGTGGCCCTGGCTGGATTTGGGCTTCAGAGTTGAAGGAAAGTAGGGAGTTTCGGGTTAGTTTGGGTTTGGAGTTTTGTGACGTCCCTGCAGTGGAAGGGTAAAAGCCATGCGATCCCCAATAATTTGATGTACTTCCTAAGGACTAAGATATCTAGGGTGGTGCAAGATGTTTTCCATCAACAATAGGAAGCTTGTCATGTTTGTGGCGGGCTGATCATGTTGCAACTGCCTCACCCGCAGTACCAAGAATTCACTATCCCTTCACTGGTGCATAACAGCAGTTTACCTAAAGGAAGCCTTGCAGACCTTAGCTTAGGGTCCCTTAACTACTGCAAGGCTATGCAGGATATCTTCCATCAACGCATGAAAATCCATGGGGTATGGAGGGTGCAGGGCCCAGAGTTGAGATGCAGATGCCTGAGGAAGTTTGACAATACTGTTCATGCACTAATGAATGGAACGGGTTCATGGCTGCATACCATTTTGCCATATTTTGCTCGTTCTCACTCTTGAGGTACACCTCGATTTTCTGTGTCTGCGAGCACAAGAGAACGCTATGCTGATTGAAATCGCAGAGGGCTTTGACCTCCCCTGCTCCTTCCCCTCCCAGACGGTACTCCGCCTGGACTGCGCGATGCCCAATTTTGCGTATGCAGCTGCACTGGCGCTGCACCACTTGAAGTGCGGGGGCCGGGCTGCGCAGAATGCTGATGAGGCCGCTGCCATCGGCACCGTGTCCGTGGAGGATTTGACGCTAAGATGCTGGAAACGAGATGAGCCGAAGGAGGAGGGCGCCTCGAGATCGCACGTGGCGCTGATGCACGCTATGCTGCTTTTTCCCAGGTTGCTGCGCCCGATTCTGCAAGCCTTGAGTGTCTCGCTTGCAACGTCTCCAGCAGGCTCACCCTACAGCGCGCCCTGGCAGCAGCTCCTGGAGAAGAGCCCCTTTGCTCCTCAGACGCATGTCCTCCACAAGCAGTATTCCAGGATGCACGGCCTGGTCTCCGAAGCCTTCGTCCACCGCTGCGCCGCTCTCTTCCGAGGCGACGGAACACTTCGCTGGATGCACGCTTGCGCCGGGCGCCTGACGCAGATGTGCGAGTCCTCTCTGTTCGAAAAGGAGCTCATGCAAGAGCGGAAGTCTTGGAGCGAAGCAGAGCTTGGAGTTGGAGAAGCTCTCAGTAAGGATTTCCGCGAGTTCAACACCTTGGAAGTCGAAGCAGAGCGAAAACCTCCAGTTATACTGGAGCGTACCTTCAACAGCTGGGTGGGCACGCCTGCAGCCCTCCCTGCTGAGGAGGAGTCTGAGGAGTCTCTGGTTCCTAGATTCTTTCAATGCTTTGTAGTTGCAATCCCTGAAGATACCATTACAGTTTCTATTGTTGTGTACAGGTTTCTTCCCATAGTCTGACTGCAAAATTCGCGATCTGTAAGTATATTCAGTCACGCTGGACCTCTTTTAATCCACTAATCCACGGTAGGTATGCCTTCCTTGGTGTCTGCCCCCACCCCATAACAGTCCACAGATAGTGTAATTAATTGTAGTGACATTATACCCTCAAGCAGCATCCTATGTACGTGTCCGTGTATATATGTATAATATTTACATGTAAGCACCTATAGGTTAGGTGCACCCCCCACCCAGTAATAGTGGCCAGAACGGAATAATAGAGATTATATTCGGGTCCTCTTATATCCTATTATACCACTATTACAGGGTGGGGGGTCCTCCTAAATAATATTTGCAAGTAAGCACCTATAGGGTTCAAGTGCAGGAGTCTCAGCTGCTACGTGCGCTGCGCCTGTCAGAGGCTCAGCAAGAGGCCCTGGAGCGGCGACGTCTCGTGGAGGAGCTTTCCATCCTACAGCCCCTTTACTGGGGTTCTATGTACGATAGTCTAAACTCCTTAAAGGGGGGTTATATAGGGGTCCCTTTAAGGGGAATATAGGGTTCTATAGGGTTCTATAGGGTTCCATAGGGTTTAGGGTTTAGGGTTTA